CGGAGTCTCACTATGTTGCCCGAGCTGGAGTGCAGTGGTGCCATCTCGGTCACTGCAACCTCTGCCTCCCGAGTTCAAGCAATTCTTCTGTCTCAGCCTCCTGAGTAGCTGGGATTACAGGGTGCGCCCCACTCACACCCGGGTATTTTGTATTTTTAGCAAGAGATGGGGTTTCACCATGTTGGCCAGGCCTGGTCCTTGAACTCCTGACTCTTGTGCATCTGCTGCGCGCTTGGCCTCCCAAAGTGCTGGGATTGCAGGCGTGAGCCACCATGCATGGCGACAGGCTTCATCTTATTCCATAAATATCTATAAATCCCATCGTCAAGGAGGGCAGACTTTGGGAACTGTTCTCCCACCTCTTGCACTTGGCACCCTTGTGAATACATGGTTTCTCTGCTGTAAGACTTGTCATCTCAGTAATTGGCATACTGTGAGATGGACAGAACAGGCCTGGTTCTATATCAATAGTGTGAAGGAATTGTTTCATTTTATAGACTGGTATCCTCAGTTTCCTGAGGAACTTTTACTAACATGGATAGTGAGAGTAACTAATTTAGGGTAAATATCTTTGGTTTTAAATAATGCAGAATGGAAGAACATATTTGGATTGATGTAGGACCTACAGCTCACTCTTCAACAATTGCAGATAGGTATGTATCATCCACACACACAGGAGTTTATTCCTGAAGGAACAGCCAGCCTGGGAGGGTGGATAAAAGCTACTCTAAAGTCTGTCTACTCGGCAAAGCGGGACTGTCTGACTCCCCCTAAAATGCCAAGTGAGACTCCCCAGATGAACCACCTTAATATGCTTCCCATGCAAGCCATGTGGCACTAACATGATGATGATAGGAATATTTTACCTACTGAATACGTTTATTACCCAGGTCAAGGTAAATGTCTGGGTTTGGGGAACCCCATTTTCTTGGGCACCTCATGTAAACTTATTGCTGCAAAATTGAGCTATAGTCAATCTTACCAAATTTGCTTCCTATTATGGGCCTTTCAGATGCTAATAAAACCATTAGAATAATTAATAAGAAAATGATGAAAGGTATGGGGAGAATCAAATAGCTCCTTCCAGGAAGGTAGAAATTTTTAAATGGTTATAAAGAAGGTAAAGACGATATAGGCCGGGTGCGGGTGGCATCACGTCTGTAATTCCCAGCACTTTGGCCGGGCCCGGAGCCAGAGGGCGGATCACAGGTCAGGGACAGATCGAGACCATCTGGGCTAACGTGGTGGAAAGACCCCGGTCTCTAAAAAACACAAAAAATTTAGCCGGGCGCTCGGGTGTGGCGCCTTCAGTCCAGCTGCTTGAGCTGAGCAAAGATGCAGAACCTCGGGCGTTGCAGTGGGCGCCGAGGATCCGCAGCGCAGCTCCAGCCTGGCGACTGAGCCGAAGAGCGTCGGCCGTCTCAAAAAAGAAGAAAAAAAAGAAAAAAGAGCAGTAAAGAAATTCTGTACGTAAAATAACTAAAGATAAAAGAAAAGAGAAGGCAATACCTTCAGTCGGCCAGCATGTGGAAATCTTTGGATTGGCTATTAGAGGAATAAAATAAAAACTGGATGGATTAAAAAAAGGTCGTGAGAAGTGTGTACACTATCAAGGTTGTGGGAGGACCAAGAAAGTTGCCTGTGTTGGCATCCGCGCCCCAAACATTAGAAGGCCGCGTCAAGGATAAGGTTGCTGTACGTGTCCTGAAGTTTGCATAAAATTTTAAAAGCCGAAAGTAAGAGAATACTATGAGAAAGCTCCGACCGTGGAATTGCCGAGGAGAAGTGTGTTAATGTCGCAGGTAGCACTTGCGGAAGAACAGGCCATAAGTCGTCCTGGCAGCTGAACGCCCTGGGTGGAAAGCCTGAAGATGTGGCTGCCACCAAGACAGGGTTAAAAGGGTCTGGAGGAGAAGAGTCCTGGGACTAGAACATCAAAGAGGCGTAAAAGCTTGGGCGAGGATGTGATTATGAAAGTTGGAAGTGTTAAGACGTGGCTTTTTTTTTTAAGTTGTAGCTACCAATGAAACTAGTTCTTTCGCTACGTTCGTGTGTTGGTCACGCAAAATGAAAAAGAAAGAACACCCGAATTTGAAAAAAAAACAAAGAAAGGCAAGCAGGTGTTTATATCCTGACCGAGAAAGTTGGGAGACATGGAGTAGCTCTTGCCCTAAATGCCTCTTTCTCGCCTGAAGCAGTAGAGGGCTAGGGTTTTTGAGGGGCCAGGGCATGGTGGCTCGACGCCTGTAATCCAGCACTTTGGGAGGCGAGGGCGGGTGGATCACGAGGTCAGGAGTTTCAAAGGACCAGCCTGGCCACAGCATAGGGTGAAACGTCGGCGTCTCTACTAAAAAAGTACAAAAATTAGGCTGGGGTGAGAGCGATGGAGGCGTGCCTGTAACCCAGATACTCGCGGACGGCTCGAGGCCAGGAGGAATCGCTGAACCAGAGGCAGAGTTGCAGTGGAGCCTAGATCGTGCCAGCGGACAGCTCCAGCCTGGGCAACAGCGGCGGACTCCGTCTCAAAGAAAAAAAGAAAAAAAAAAAGAAAAAGGCGTGGGGGGTTTTTAAGAACTGAGCGCCAGGCGGTGGTGGGCTCGATCCTTAATTGCCAGCCACCGTTTCGGGAGGCCGGAGACAGGTGGTCACCTGCAGTGTTGCAGAGTTTGAGGGCACCAGGCCTGACGCAACAATGGAGGAGAACCCCAGTCGTCCTTTGTACAAAAAAGTAGCAAAATTGTAGGCCGGAGCGTGCGGTCGGGTGCATGCCTGTAATCCCAGCTACTCAGAGGCTGAGGGCAGGAGAACGTTGCTTGCACCCTGGACGGTGGGGTTGCAGTGAGCCGAGGATTCGGCCATCTGCACTCCAGCGCGGACAACTACGCAGAGGGTGAAGACTGTCAAAAAGGAAAAGAAAAAAAGATGTCAGCAACGATGCTTGAGAGGAATGTTAGCATGTACGAGGTGGGGACTCCAGATGCACAAGCTCTGTTCATAAACATGCTTCTTCATAAAGCCCATGCATGCAAAATGTCAGTGATTACATTTGGAGGGAGGAAATTTTAGAGTTATAATGGTATGTTAATGTCGTAAAGGCAACTAGAGGTCATCTATTCCAGTTGCACCAGTTTGGAAGTCTTATTTTTTTCTGGTACCAGTCAGGACAATCTCTGTCCTAACCACAGAATACAAGACAGCCACAGTGAAGAATCCTCACTGCTCCCTCCTCAACTCGACACCAGACACCGAAGCCTAACCCACTCCACACCACAAAAGATGATGATTCTGGGTTTCCTGGACTGGAGTGGCATCAGCAACCTCAAAATACTATGCCAGCACTACCTGTTCCTGGTTTCCAATCCATGGGACACCTGAGAGAAGGCAGGTGGACAAGACACATCCACAAGTGCCTCCAAGAAATTTTCCATGACTTTGGAGGTGAAAACTTGCAGGGACCAACAGAACAGTAGGCTGGCCAGATCCCCACATCAGCTAGCCAGCCATGGAGCTTGAATAAAATAAAATGCAAAGCAGTCTAAAAACAGGCATGTTTAGTTCTACTACATGTGGACATAAGGAGATATTAGATTGTCTGGGATGATGGGTTTTTTGGTTTGTTTGTTTTAGAGACAAAGTCTCACTTTGTCTCACAGGCCAAAATGGAGTGACACGATCATAACTCACTGTAGTCTTGACCTTACGGGATCAAACCGTCCTCGTGCCTCAGCCTCCCGTGTAGCCGGGACTACAAATGTGCACCACTACAGCCTGATAATTTATTTTTACTTTTTTTTTTTTTGGAAGAGACAGGGTCTCAATATTGTGACAAGGGCAGTCTCAATCTCTTGGCCTCCCAATGTTTTGGGATTACACCCGTGAGCCATCATGCCTGCCAAGTTTATGTGTGGGGGTGGGAGTTATTTTCTTTTTCTTTAGAGAGATTGAGTCTTGTTATGTTACCCAGGCTGCACTTGAACCCTTAGGCTCAGGTGATCCCCATACCTCAGTCTTCTGAGCAGCTGTTATGACAGGCACATGCCACCATGACCAGCATGTCTGAGAAATAGTCAACTGAGAAAACAAAACTGCATATCTGTAGGCAAAGTATTGTATTGTATTGTATTGTATTGTATTGTATTGTATTGTATTGTATTGTATTGTATCGTACTGTATTGTATTTTTTTGAGATGGAGTCTCACTCTGTCACCCAGGCTGGAGTGCAGTGGTGTGATCTCAGCTCACTGCAACCTCCGCCTCCTGAGTTTAATCAATTCTCTTGTCTCAGCCTCCCGAGTAGCTGGGACTACAGGTGCATGCCACCATGCCTGGCAATTTTTTTGTATTTTTAGTAGAGACAGGGTTTCACCATGTTAGCCAGGATGGTCTCGATCTCCTGACCTTGTGATCCACCCGCCTCAGGCTCCCAAAGTGCTGGGATTACAGACGTGAGCCACCACACCCAGCTATTATTTTTTTATTATTATTTTTTTGAGATGAGGTCTTGCTCTGTCGTCCAGGCTGGTGTTCAGTGGCACAATCTCGGCTCACTGCAACCTCTACCTACTGGATTCAAGCAATTCTCCTGCCTCAGCCTCCTGAGTAGCTGGGATTATAGGCACCTGTCACCACACCCAGCTAATTTTTGTATTTTTAGTAGAGATGGGGTTGTACCATGTTGGCTAGGCTGGTCTCAAACTCCTGACCTCAAGTAATCCACTTGCCATGGCCTCCCAAAGTGCTGGGATTACAGGCAGGAGCCACTGCGCCCGGCCTAGTTTATTTTTGATGCAAGGTTTTTTTCAGTGCCTCTTTGCCAGCCAGAAACTTCTGTGGCTGAGGGGGCTTCTACTCATTTGTTCCTGTTGCCTCACTTTGACCCACAGCTACTGGGCTGGTCTGGCCCTGCTGCCACTTCCTGTTGCATGGGGTGGTCGCCTGGCACCAGCAGAGGACAGGAGGGCTCCTGTGTTACAGCTTCTTTTGCACCCACTGTTTGGCAGGTCCCAGGTTCTTGTCCCATGTCGAAGAAGAATGAGGTTACCTGGACAACTGAAGGATGAGAAGGGTGGAGAAGAGTTTTTATTGAATGATGAAACAGCTCTCAGCAGAAAGTGAACCCCAAGTGGGTGGCCCCTACCTGAAGTAGACCTCCCCACTCGAAGGTAGGCAGTTTCCCAGTGTGGCAGAGTTCTGGACTTGTATGGGTTCAGAATGGGGGAGTGTATGCTGATTGGTTTGTGAGTGTGCAAAAAAGGTTAAAACAAAGTCACGACTCAGAGGTGGGCACAACAGTGTAAATAACCAGTTAGGGAAGGGTACGCATATGTAAAATAGGTGAAGGGTGGGGAACAGAGCAAAGTGTGCCAGACAGGAAGAAAGGTTCTCAATCTGGTCCATGGATTTATCCTGGATTGTAGCTAGGCTTTAAACTGTCTTTGGCTTGAAGGTCTGGTTTCACCAGGAATCTGCCCCTGTCTTCCTAGAATTTGTCTACCTGCTGCTGCTATCATTTTAGCTAAGATTAACAACTTTTATAGGACTATAGTGGAACACACAACACAGAATAACAAACATATGTGCAGACACAAGTATTATAGTGCAAACCTTGGCTTCTCTGTGTATGTTTACATTTCTGCCTACCTTAAATATCTGCTTTATTGTTTCTATCTACACTGGTATTGCTCAATACTCTCAAGAATGACGACGAATCTCATTTTAGAGACAAAACTATCAGAGTGATAATCCTAATCAGGTACTGGTCTTAATTCTATCTCTCCTTAGATATCGCTACTAAAAGTTTTATCAAGATTTAATTTTTAAAATTTTATTTATTTATTTATTTATTTTTACCATCCACTAATGTTGCAACAGCTCTATTTCTATTTTCTTTTTCTTTTCTTTTCTTTTTTTTTTGAAACAGAGTTTTGCCCTTGCTGCCTAGGTTGGAGTGCAGTGACGTGATCTTGGCTCACTGCAACCTCCGCCTCCTGGGTTCAAGCAATTCTCCTACCTCAGCCTCCTGAGTAACTGGGATTACAGGTGTGCGCCACCATGCCTGGCTAATTTTTGTATTTTTAGTAGGGACAGGGTTTCACCATGTTGGCCAAGCTGGTCTCGAACTCCTGACCTCGTGATCCATCTATCTCGGCCTCTCAAAGTGCTGGGATTACAGGCGTGAGCCACAACGCCTGGCCTTCTTTCCTTTTTTAGAGACAGGGTCTGGTTCTGGTACCCAGGTTGGAGCGCTGTGACCCTCTCTCCCTGGGCTCCTAAGCATTGGATTTACAGGCATGAGCCACCGCCCCTGGCCTCAACAGATCTATTTCTGTCACCACCATTAAATCAAATCACTACGTAATTATTCTATAATTCTAAAAATTTTTTATTTTTGTGTTTGTTTTTTATTCCTTCTAAAAAAAAAGAAGGAATACATGTGCAGAATGTGCAGGTTTGTTACATAGGTATCTTCTCTTTTGTTGTTGTTGTTTTTTGTTAAGGTGGAGTCTCACTCTGTTGCCCAGGCTGGAGTGCAGTGGAGCGATCTCAGCTCACTGCAACCTCCACCTCCCGGGTTCAAGGGATTCTCTTGCCTCAGCCTCTAGCTGGGACGACAGGTGCACGCTATCACGCCCGGCTAATTTTTGGTTTTGTTTTGTTTTGTTTTTGAGATGGAGTCTCACTCTGTCACCCAGGCTAGAGTACAGTAGTGTAATCTCGGCTCACTGCAACCTCTGCCTCCCAGGTTCAAGTGATTCTCCTGCCTCAACCTCCCAAGTAGCTGAGACTACAGGCATGCACCACCATGCCTAGCTAATTTTTGTATTTTTAGTACAGACAGGTTTCATTATGTTGGCCAAGCTGATCTTGAACTCCTGACCTTTGGATCCACCCGGTTCAACCTCCCAAAGTGATCTTTTTTTTGTTTTTTTTTTTTTGAGACGGAATCTCGCTCTGTGGCCCAGGCTGGAGTGCAGTGGCCGGATCTCAGCTCACTGCAAGCTCCGCCTCCCGGGTTTAGGCCATTCTCCCGCCTCAGCCTCCCCAGTAGCTGGGACTACAGGCGCCCGCCACCTCACCCAGCTAGTTTTTTGTATTGTTTAGTAGAGATGGGGTTTCACCGTGTTAGCCAGGATGGTCTCGATCTCCTCACCCGCCTGTCTCGGCCTCCCAAAGTGCTGGGATTACAGGCTTGAGCCACCGCGCCCGGCCAGTGATAGGTTTACAAGAATTTTTGTATTTTTAGTAGACACAGGGTTTCTCCATGTTGGCCAGGCTGTTCTGAAACTCTTGACCTCAAATGATCCACCCACCTCAGCCTCTCAAAGTGCTGGGATTATAGACGTGAGCCACCATGCCGGGTCTTTTTTTTTTTTTTTTTTTTTTTTTTTGAGATGGAGTTTTGCTCTTGTTGCCCAGGCTGAGTGCTACGGCATGATCTCAGCTCACTGCAACCTCTGCCTTCCCGGTTCAAGTGATTCTCCTGCCTCAGCCTCCCGAGTAGCTGGGATTACAGGCATGCACCACCATGCCTGGCTAATTTTGTGTTTTAATCGAGACAGGGTTTCTCCATGTTGGTCAGGCTGGTCTCGAACTCCCGACCTCAGGTGATCCACTCACTTTGGCCTCCCAAAGTGCTGGGATTACAGGTGTGAGCCACTGCACCTGGCCATTTTTAAAAATTATTATTATTTTTTTCACTTTTTTTTTTTTTTGAGACAGAGTGTCTGTCTTCCAGGCTGGAATACAGTGGCAGTATCTTGGCTCACTGCAACCTTCACCTCCCAGGTTCAAGTGATTCTGCTGCCTCAGCTGGGATTACAGGCGCTGTTACCATGCCCGGCTAATTTTTGGATTTTTAGTAGAGGTGGGGTTTCACCATGTTGGCCAGGCTGGTCTCAAACTCTTGACCTCAAGGGATCCTCCCACTTCAGCCTACCAAAGTGCTAGGATTACAGTCCTGAGCCACTGCACCTGGCCAACATAGTCATTCTTAAAAGAGTTTTGGAATTTATATTTTACAACTGTATTCCTAACATAACGTTAATTCATTATGCAAAACACTCCTTGCAATGGAAACAGAAATAAAGAATAGCCACTTCACAGCAATAACATGAACTCCTGGATTTAAGACACAACCAATATCAACAGGTGGAGAGCATCTTCTGCATACGTGCTCCGTCTTTGAAAACTGCAGCCATTTATCACTACCAAATAGCATTTCTTTCATTGGTCTTCTTGTAAGATTGATAAATCTTAGATAAATTAATCCAGAATCAACTGAATGTAAGTTAGAATCTCAAGCAAGGGATACTAAGTAGATAAAAGTGTTGCTCAATGTACTGGATACTATGATTGATTTTATAGGCAGGAGAGTTGTTTTCTGTGGGAATCACAGACAAGAGATTCAGCGTGTATTCCTACTTTAGGCAACACAACATTTCTCCTTTATCTTCCTTTTCTTGTCCTATCTGGATTAGTTCTCTGTTGTCCCTGACAGACTGAGAAACTGACTCTAATGCCTCAGAGTGCATTCATGTGAATTTATAACACAATAATGTTTATCAGCCTTTGCTCCCAGTGCAGGGATTTTGCGACTGAAAGACTGTTCAAAACATGATAATTTGGATTTTCGGTCTTTGGGGGCATCCTAAATAATAAGTTTAGCATCGGAGAGCTCGAGTTCCCCAAAATCTAAAATAATATTTTTTCAAATACTTGAGTGATCAGTTACAGACGCTAATCTCCAAAACTCCCAATACGGGTTCTAAGGCTAGGTGAGACTATCCTCTACCCCAGAAGAACGCGCAGTTTAAGGACAGACCGCTGAGGTGGAGCTGGGCCTTTCCTGCAAGTAAGTGAATATGATGGTAGGGTATACCTGACAGCATAGTTTGACAGGGGACATAGACTTTCAAGGAGAGAATAGACATGAAATAGACACATGCGGAAGTATAGTCAAATTGAGGGACGATGACACTTAAGCCAGAGTGATGCTTATTCACCGCTCTGTGCAATCAAGCGCCTCTGAGAAGCGCTTTCTTTACCGCCTGGGAACCGTCTTGGAACCTGAGGAAACTACATAACCCAGAAATCTCTGCGTCGAATGACAGCGCGTCAGAGCCAATGAATGCTCAAAATAAAGGCGTTTCCGCGGAAACAACATAAAGGGGACTTCCGGCGTCCTCTACTAGCGGCCATTTTGATTGGTGTTGGATGTATTTTCCCGTAAGAGCCCGCGGGTTGCTGGGGCATGTAGAAGGTGGAGAAGAGACGTTGTCCCGACTGCACAGAGGCTGCTCTGCAGTTCCTTAAAGGCGCTAGGCGTGACCTGCGCCAAGGCCGAGATCGGGATCATCGTGCCCGGGTACCTGCCCTGCTCGCCCTCTGCTTTCGACCTGCTTTCCCCACCCAGTCGGATGGCGGCGGCCGCGCTGAGGCCCACGGCTCAGGTAATTGTGGCGTCTTCCGTGCCTTCAGGTCACCTCATCTTTACCTAAGTCCAAAAGCAGAGAGGAAGCGGCGCCTGCCCAAGGCTCTACAGCCTGAACCCGGCGTCGGGACACAGGCGCTCGCGTGATGGGCCCCCGTTTTTAACACCCGCGGGATACGCTGAGGAGAGCGACAGGCACAGGGACTGGTGCAGGCAAAGGCCTGAAGATGAACTGAGCCGAGAGGATCGGAACCTAGGGTCCACAGGCACCTGTCGGGAGCAAAGTGTGAGGCAGAGCTCCTCCTGGAAGAGCAGGCTGGGGACTGTGTATTCACCCTGGGAACGCTAGAAGCCATGGACAGCTTCCAACAAAGGAAGGGCAAGATAAAAGTCCAGGCTTTAAAGGTTTCCCAAAGTCCAGCCAAAAAAAGAACACAGAGGCCGGGCGCAGTGGCTCACGCCTGTAATCCAAGCACTTTGGGAGGCCGAGGCGGGCGGATCACGAGGTCAGGAGATCGAGACTATCCTGGCTAACACGATGAAACCCCCGTCTCTACTAAAAATACAAAAAATTAGCCGAGCGTGGTGGTGCGCGCCTGTAGTCCCGGCTACTCGGAGGCTGAGGCAGGAGAATTGCGTAAACCCGGGAGGCGGAGCTTGCAGTGAGCCGAGATCGCGCCACTGCACTCCAGCCTGGGCGACAGAGCGACAGAGCGAGACTCCGTCTCAAAAAAAAAAAAAAAAAAACAGGGCATGACTTTCGCGCCCTGGGAGGTTGAATTCTTGTTCAACCTCTATAGATCACATAGGTGCTAAGAGATGACATTTTGTACTGAGGCGCTCAGTTCAGCCAATCAACCCGCGTTTACCTGGTTACAGGGCCAAGAAAGGGTTCAGGGAGGCCAGAGCTTATCAAATCTCATCAGGGACACATTCTTGTAGCTTGTACCTCTCCTCACAGGAACTCCTGGCTGCAGAAGCACTTGCAGAACCTCCACTGGGAAGCGGAGGATGTTATTCCTTCACTGGCCCTAACTCCTATCCACATGCTCTTTAGATTGGGATGTCCTAGGACTGTTGGGTACCTGTTTTTTGTTTTTTGTTTTTTGTTTTTTTTTTAAAGTTTTTCGATCTGGGACCCCTGGAGGAACCTTAAACCCAGGATCCTAAGTCTGTGACACAGGATATATGGTGGTATTCCCATTTCTGTCAACCAGTATAAACATACTTGGAAGGTTAACCCAGGAGTTAGTACCAGGATGTGAAATACTTAGAGGTGAAACTGACCAGAGGGAAGAGGTGATGTTGCCACAATTTCATCTGGCTGTAGTCTCCTCTGGCTCTACAGTGAACAGACTGTGGGGTTGAGAGAGGAGGAAATAAGATGAGAGTTGAGGCTTTTGCCATAATCCAAGTGAGGATTAACAGACTAAGATTCATGGCTAAGGAGATGTGGGTGGATTCAAAGTTGATATTTTGTAACAAGCATCTAGGTTTCCTAATACACAAAGAAAGGGCATGAAGAGAGCAATCAGGAACCCAAGGTTTTTGGTCTTAGCCGCTGTAGCTGTGGAAGCTGCATCAGCTGAGATGAGCATGTTGGTAGTAAACATAATTAGAATATTATGCAGATATCAAGATGACTGTTTTGGCCATGTGAAAAGTCAGAGACGAATAAGTGTAGGCATCAGTTGGGTATGGACATGCAGGTTGGGGTATCTGGGAAGGGATTGACACTGGAGACATCTAATATATGGTAGCTAATGTGTATGCTATGGTGAGTGAGCCATGGGTCACAATAAGGAGCGCACACTTCAGATTCTGGTGGTAAATCTTTTAGGGGACCAGAAAGCAGTGGTTGAAAGATGAGGACTGCATCTGTTGCTTGGGTCCCTGGGGAATGTTATTGGGCTTCCTAAACACTGGAGAGGTAGGTAAGTGACCGTGATGGTAGGGTATACCTGTCAGCATGATTTGACAGGGGACATTGACTTTCAAGGAGAGAATAGACATGAAATAGATACATGCAGAAGTATAGTCAAATTGAGGGAAGATGACACTTAGGCCACAGTGGTGCTTATTCACCACTCTGCAATCAAGATTTGAGATGATTTTGGTAGTGTGTAGGGAGTTTCATTACGTGTGCTGAATATGCTCAGGGAGAAATGTGGTCATCTGTGACAGTAGGTCCTGGGCCTTAAATGGATTAAAAACAGGACTTTTTTTTTTTTTTTTTTTTTTTTGAGAGGAAGTCTTGCTCTGTCACCCAGGCTGGTGTATAGTGGCGCAATCTTGGCTCACTACGACTTCTACCTCCCAGGTTCAAGTGATTCTCCTGCCTCAGCCTCCGGGTAGCTGAGAATACAGGTGCGTGCCACCACGTCCCGCTAATTTTTTTTTGTATTTTTAGTAGAGACGGGATTTCACCATATTGGCCAGGGTGGTCTCAAACTCCTGACCTCATGATCCACCCGCCTCGGCCTCCCAAAGTGCTAGGATTACGGGAGTGAGCCACCGTGCCTGTCCAGGACTGTGTTTTTTGTTGTTGTTGTTTTTTGTTCTTTGTTTTTTTGAGATGAAGTCTCACTCTTGTTCCCCAGGCTGGAGTGCAGTGGCACGATCTCGGCTCACTGAACATCTGCCTCCTGGGCTCAAGCGATTCTCCTGCCTCCCGAGTAGCTGGGATTACAGGTGCGCACCACCACACCCAGCTAATTTTTTGTATTTTAAGTGGAGATGGGGTTTCACCATGTTGGCCAGGCTGGTCTCGAATTCCTGACGTCAGGTGATCCATCCACCTCAGCCTCCCAAAGTGCTAGGATTACAGGCATGAGCCAGCGCGCCTGGCCAGGACTGGTCTTTAAATGGCAATGGTATTAGGTGAATGGAAGTTGGTCTGTGTTGCTGAAGGGTAAGCCATTGCAGCACAGAAGTGGAATAAGACCATGGATATCTGAAGTTACATGTGGTTTTGCGTGGCTGTGGAGTAATGCAAGGAGGCATTCATAGAATTATTAGGCACTACCACTGCTAATGGGAACAATGGTCATTTTGTGTTATTATTGGATCCTGTTTGAATATGTGAAGCATACTTGATGCTGTCAGCCATATTGTGGTATAAAGCCAAAAATGGAGGCCCAGTGTGATGTGCCACCTTGACATCTAGTGATATTGGTATGACCTGAAATGACCTGAGAGCCAATTCACTTCCCACTAGGCTCTGTTAGATAATAATCAACATGGCCTAATCATCCTTTTATTAGGGAGACCAGGCAGAATTCCTGGTTCTTATACTTTGTAGTGAGTTTCAATTTTATCCTTACCTACAGTGTTATTCAAACAAGCCAGTTGCATCCTCCCAAGGGATTCAGGGGTCATCACACCCTCTTCATTTTAAAAGCTTGCATACCATAGTTTCTGGTTATGCACTCTTATCCATAGTGCAACCCCTATGTGGTCCTCCATGGTGAGGGATCTCCTCTTCTAGACTTTGAGTGTATTTGATTTGTAAACATATTCATAGCACCTGTCTAGTGTTTGATGTCATGTGTTTGATCATTAATATAACTGTAAGGTGAAAATCCCACCCTTATTGGTAGAAGGAAGAAGAGGATATAAACATACTTTAACTTGTGGGGAGGCAGAGGCCAATGTGGGAGGCAGTTTGGTGGGGGTGGCCATGGGCATGTGTCTATGCAATCTAAAGAATGATATGTATTTTGGCCTAGCACAGTGGCTCATGCCTGTAATTCCGGCACATTGGGAGGCTGAGGTGGGTGAATCACTTGAGCTTAGGATTTTGAGACCAACCTGGGCAACATGGTGAAACCTTCTCTCTACCAAGAAAAGAAAAAATTATCCGGGCACGGTGACGTGCACCTGTAGTCTTGTCTACTGGGGAGGCTAAGGCCAGAGAATTACTCGAGCCCAGGAGACAGAGGTTGCATTGAGCTGAGATCACATCATTGCACTCCAGCAACGGGAGTGAAACGCTATCTCAAAAAAAAAAAAAACAAACAAAGAAAAAAAAAGGAATGATGTGTATTTAGATGTGTATCTATCAGTATGTCTGATAGACCGAGGATGCTTCATTGGGATTTACATGACTTCATCTCTAGCAGGGGCATTGGCTCTCAGAAGGTATGGACTGCTTTATGTCAGCACCAAAACATAGAAACCTATTGGTTCCCCCACTTCTTGTTGCTGATGGCTGTACACCATGGCCATGTGAACCCATGAGAAGATAGTGACACCAGTGGGCCTAGTTTCTCCTTGTAGTTTAGGACCTTGGGAGGAGGAAGGGCAAAGGTGGATAAGTGGATGAGCATATGGAGTGTTTGTGGTTTCATCTATCGTCATCATGGCAGGGCACTGTGACCTTTGAAGATGTGGCTGTGAACTTTTCCCAGGAGGAATGGAGTCTCCTTAGTGAGGCTCAGAGATGCCTTTATCATGACGTGATGCTGGAGAACCTGGCACTTATATCTTCTCTAGGTAAGGCACTCACACTCTTCTCTGTGACCTCAGCTAGTGTCTGCCTGTCCCCATCTTTTTCCCCATGGCAAGACTGTTTTCCTCACTTCAGGAGCCTGGGCACAGGTTCCTCTCTTAGTTCCCTGGGTAGGTTCTGTGGTAGGTAGGACTGAGGTGTGTGCACTGCCCTCTCTTCTCCTTGAGCAGCCCCAACACCTGCTTTGCTGCAAGCTCCCAGAGAAGGAGCTTTACATGCACCATAATGCATCCCACCTGGCTTGCCCTCTGGCTGTTGAGTAATTTTTCCGGATCCGAGACTGGTATGCTCAGGTTCTGCTTCCTTGCTCTAGGTGACATTTATTCATGACTACCTGTGCTAGGAATTCCTCCCATCATTGATGTTCTCAATACTTACTTGCACCATAGGCTGTTCTTGCAAGACCCTCCTTATAAATTATCTTGTTTGTTTTGTTTTGTTCTGTTTTGTTTTCAGAGACAGTCTTACTCTGTCACCCAGGCTGGAGTGCAGTAGTGCGATCATAGCTCACTGTAGCCTCAATCTCCCAGGCTCAAGCAATCCTCCTTCCTCAGCCTCTGGAGTAACTGGGACTAGAGGCTTCTGCCACCACATCCACTAATTTTTATTTTTATTTTTAATAGAGATGAGGTCTGGCTGTATTGCCTAGACTGCTCTCTGACTGCTGACCCCATGTGATCCTCCCACCTCATCCTCCCAAAGTGCCGAGATTACAAGCATGAGCCAGTGTGCCCTGACCTTTTTTTTTTTTTTTTTTTTTCCAGACAGGGTTTCATTGTCATCCAGGCTGTAGTCTACTGATGCAATCATGGCTCACTTCATTCTCAACCTTCTGGGCTCAAGTAATCCTTCCACCTGACTCCTAAGTAGCTGGGACTACAGGAGCATGCCACCCTGCCTAACTAATTTTTGTTCATTTTTTGTTTTGTTTTGTTTTGTTTTTGAGATGGAGTCTTGCTCTGTCACCCAGGCTGGAGTGCAGTGGTGCGATCTCGGCTCACTGCAACCTCTGCTTCCTGGGTTCATGCCATTCTCCTGCCTCAGCCTCCCCAGCAGCTGGGACTACAGGCGTACGCTGCCATGTCTAGCTAAGTTTTTTGTTTTTTTTTTTTTTTTTTTTTTTTTGTGAGACGGAGTCTTGCTCTGTCTCCCAGGCTGGAGTGCAGTGGCCGGATCTCAGCTCACTGCAAGCTCCGCCTCCTGGGTTTACGCCATTCTCCTGCCTCAGCCTCCCGAGTAGCTGGGACTACAGGCGCCCGCCACCTCACCCAGCTAGTTTTTTGTACTTTTTAGTAGAGATGGGGTTTCACCATGTTAGCCAGCATGGTCTCGATCTCCTGACCTCGTGATCCGCCTGCCTCGGGCTCCCAAAGTGCTGGGATTACAGGCGTGAGCCACCGCACCCGGCCTTGTTTGTTTGTTTTGTAGAGATGGTGTCTCATTATGTTACCCAGGTTGGTCTTGAACTCCTAGGGTCAAGCAGTCCTCCCAGTTTGGCCTCCCCGAGTGCTGGGATTATAGGTGTGAGCCACTGCGACTGGCCAAAAATTCTCTTTGTAATATTTAGTTTTCTTTCCTATGGGCTATGATGTGCTGATTTTTTCTGAACTATTGGCTGTTCTTTTCTCTTGTCTTTCTCTTATTCTTTATGTCATCCATTTCCCATGTAAATTCCATGTGTATCTTTGCAGTGGGACTGAGAGTTCTCAGTGATGCAGAAGTTGCAGCTAAACCCAGGCTCATGATGGGCCCAGAGGGAGGCCACCTCTGAGGAGTAACACCCTGGAGTAAGATATAACATTAGGGATTTAGGAAAGTCATACTAGAAGCTCTCCGATTTCACAAGTATTTACCTAGCAACATGACTAGCCATATGCTATTTCTGTCTTCCCCATTCTTGAGGATTTCAGACTTCACCGTTCTATACCCTGTCACTTCTACTCTGATGCCAGCCCAGGACTAATCTTCACATCTCTGGATCCCACCTGTCACCCATTTTTCTCACATTTCCATCTGCAGCGGACTCCAATACTGGCATATCAGTTTTGTATTAGGAAGTGTGTACACATTGCTAAGCCATACCTGACCAACAGCTGCTTTGTTGTACTCATATTTTCATGTGACACACAAACAGGTATATCTAACAGAGGTATTACTCCATGGAAATAATTGCAGAAACAGAATGTTGCCTTTAAGTTGAAGACAAGTCTTCTTCCAATTACTGGGTTAGAATCATTATAGAATGGAGGGGGCCACATGATGTGAAGGAACCAACAATACATGCACTACAGGAAGTGGAGGCAAGGTCTACAATTCCTTCCTGTGAAAACATCTAAAGGACCTTCATAAAGCATGTGGATGCTATATAAAAGGATGTGTATAGGCCTAAGTAAATATAAATACAACAAAGCAGCCATTGATCAGGTATGGCTTTAGTAATACTTTCCTTCAGAAGTACCTTGCATTTTACCAGCATTTTATTTCTTTTAGGTTGTTGGTATGGAGCTAAAGACGAGACACCTTCTAAGCAGACCCTTTCTATACAACAAGAGTCCCCACTCAGGACACATTGGACAGGTGTATGTACCAAGAAGGTCCACCTCTGGGGAATGTGTGGCCCTCTCCTGGGAGATATCTTACACCAGGGAACACAACACAATCAGAAATTGAATGGGTTTGGGGCACGTGAAAAAACATTGGATGACGATGCAAACCATCATCAAGAACAGAGGCGGCACATAGGAGAGAAATCGTACAGAAGCAATGCCAAGGGAACATCATTTGTAAAGAACTATAAATTCCATGTGTCACATGAGCCATTTATCTTTCATGAGGTTGGGAAAGACTTTTTGTCCAGCTTGAGATTACTCCAACAAGAGGACATTCACGCTTCAGGGAAGTCAAACTTTGAAACTAAGCATGGGATACCCCTTCAGGGTGGAAAAACTCATTACATCTGTGGAGAGTCCACAGTACCCTTCAGCAACAAACACTCACTTGTCCTTCACCAGAGACTTCTCCCTGGGGAAGGACCTTATGTATGCAGTGATTCTGGGAAATTCACTAGCAAAAGTAATAGTTTCAATAATCACCAGAGAGTTCACACTGGAAAAAGACCTTATCAGTGTGGACAGTGTGATGAATCATTTTGGTATAAGGCCCACCTCACTGAACACCAGAGAGTTCACACTGGAGAAAGACCTTATGAGTGTGGAGAATGTGATAAATCTTTTAGTCATAAGCACAGTCTTGTTGACCATCAGCGAGTTCACACTGGAGAAAGACCTTATGAATGTAATGAATGTGGGAAATCTTTTAGCCATAAGCGCAGCCTTGTTCACCACCAGCGAGTTCACACTGGAGAAAGACCTTATCAGTGTGGAGAATGTGGGAAATCATTTAATCACAAGTGCAACCTCATTCAGCATCAGCGAGTTCACACTGGAGAAAGGCCCTTTGAGTGTACGGCATGTGGGAAGTTATTTAGGAGCAACTCCCACCTAAAGGAACACCAGAGAGTTCACACTGGAGAAAGACCCTATGAGTGTAAAGAATGTAGGAAGTCATTTAGATACAAGTCACACCTCACTGAACACCAGAGAGTTCACACCGGAGAAAGGCCATACGAGTGTAGAGAATGTGGGAAATGTTTTCATCAAAAGGGCAGTCTCATTCAACATCAGCAAATCCACTCTGGAGAAAGGCCACATGAGTGTGGAGAATGTGGGAAATGTTTTCATCAAAAGGGCAGTCTCATTCGACATCAGCAAATTCACTCTGGAGAAAGGCCACATGAGTGTGGAGAATGTGGAAAGTGTTTTCGTCAGAAGGGAAACCTCATTAAACATCAACGAGTTCACACAGGAGAAAGACATCATGAATGTTGAAAATTTGGCAAATCTGTTGGTTAAAAGGGCACCCTCATTCACCATTCGTGAGATCACACTGGAAAGTGCTTATGAGTGTGGAGAATGTGCAAAATCATCTAACCAAAAGGTTGGCCTCATTCAACAATAGCAAGATCACACTCGGGGAAGGCTTTGTGAGTGTAGAGAAGGTATGAAATCCTGTACGTAGAAGGTTTGCCTCACTAAATACCAGAGGGATCACACTGGAGAAAGACCCTATAGTTATGGGGAATTTGGGAAATTACTTAACAAGAAGTCCCACCTCACTGAACACTACTGAGTTCACAGTTGAGAAAGGCCATATGACTGTAAGGAATTTGTGAAATTATTTAGCCAGAAAAGCTGCATTACTATTCATCAGAGAATTTACAATGGAGAAAGGCCATATAAATGTATAATAAATGTGAGAAATCATTTCCGTACAGCTCTGTGCTTCATGTTCATAAGAATTCACACTGGACAAAGCCTTATGAGAGCAGCGAGTAGAAAATCCTTTGTGGGAAAACTCTGGTCTCATTAAACACAGGAGAGTTCATACTAGAGAAAGGCCTCAACAGTGTAGCAAGTGTGGAAAGACATTTACCAGAAGCTCTGCCCTGCAAGTTCACACTAGAGAAAGCCCTTCTCCGTGAAGTAAATTTGGAAAATTGATTAGTCAAACCTCTATGCTCCTTCAAGATCAGAGTTCACACCGGATCAAGGCTCTATGGTGTGACAAATGTGGCATATTCTTTGTCTAAATGTCTAACTTTATTATGCACAGACAAGCTCCTGCTGTGGAAGTGCCTTTTGAGTGCAGAGAATTTGATGAAGGCGTCACTCTTCTTTCATTGGATACCAGAATGTTGACAGGAGAAAAATAACATAGGTGTGTGGGAATATTACTTCTTGTCCAGTGTAACTGTGGGAGAGAGCCCTTATGAGGATGCCATCAACCTATATTGAATGTCATATGTCCAATAGCTGCATAAATTCCAGGTATACTGAAGCTGTATTGCATTTCTCATCTTGAGTACGTCCTTGCCAGATTTATTGCATTCTTAGGTCTCTGGCAAAAGCCATTTCACCTCTACCACTTGGCAGGTACCTACAGTGCATCACTCATGCACTCCATCATATTCCAGAAAAAAAGTTCAAGTTGTCTCCCATTCAGCAGTGGGATTTTTGAGTAGCCTCTGTACTCGTTCCTTTCTCATTTCTGTATGAGGAGTTGGGTCATGGACCTGACTCAGTTTTGGCCTAGAGCAGAAGTGTCCAATCTTTTGGCTTTTTTGGTCCACATTGAAAGAATTGTCTTGTGCCACATATAAAATACATTGACACTAATGATAGCTGATGAATTAAAAAAAAAAAAATCACACAAAACCCCTCATAATGTTTTAAGAAAGTTTACAAATTTGTGTTGGGCTGCATTCAAAGCTGCCCTGAGATAATGCGGCCCACAAGCTGTGGCTTGGACAAGCTTGGCCTAGAGAATTTTTCTGATTACCTGACAAGATGGGCTGTCTTTCCTAGGAATCTCATGATTCTCACGATTCTTAAGATGGAATTTTCTAGCCTCTAACTCACCAACCCAAGTACAAGCTGCCTCTCATTGTTCTAGTTTCTGCTATGATGCAGTCCTTATTTAAGCTTCCTTCAATCTTGGGAATTGTGTTGACTGTATTGTGTGAATTGTATATTTACTGCATTGTGTGGCTTAGATACAACATGGTTCTGGTACCATGAAAGTTTGTTGGGATTACTAAACTGTGTGACTCTTAGGGGACAGTATGAAGGCAGAATATAGCTCTACATTTGTGGCCTAGTTTGGATGGCTGCCTGAGGCCTCCAAAGAAAGACTTCAGGGCTTTGTGATCTTTATTTTTAGACCAAATATTGCAATATGTGTTTTCATAAATTAACCTGAGTAAGGGACAGTTTTTGTGACACACTTTGGTGCTTCTGAGAACAGCACAAAATTATTCTCTTGTTTATAAGGGATATTGCATTCTGCTCAGTACTGGTGAGGGAAATCTCTTCTCAAGTCCTATAGTGCATTCATGTGTCCTGAAGTCCAGAATTCTGTAGGATAGTGTCCTACATTATAAGCCTGGAGGAAGAAATCATAATTCTTTAATTTTTACTTTTTTAGGGACATGATGTCACTCTGAAACTCAGGCTGGAATACACTGGCATGGTCATACCTCACTGCGGCCTCAAACTGCTGGGCTCAAGTGATCCTCCTGCCTCAGCCTCCCGAGTACCTGAGATTAGCCCAGGTAATTTAAGAATTTTTTATAGAGATAGGGTTTTGCTATTTTACCCTGACTGATGTTCAACTCCTGGCTTCAACTAATCCTCTAGCATACGCCCTTGAAAGCACTAGGATTACAGGTGTGAGCCACCATGCCCAGTCCACAAATAATTTTTATAGAATTAGCATTTCTAGGTAGTAAAGCAGACTGCAACAGAATAGTTGGGATACACTTTTTTTTTAAAAAGGCATCCACAATGATTCAGTCACTATGTCTGTGATGGATAAGCAGGTATAGAAATTTTCAGGACCTCCATAATTATGAATCTAGTGTAGCTTAGGTCATTGTCAGAGTAAATCTAAAGGTTTTGTGGATTTCTGTAGCCTATCTGGGCTGCTTATCAAAAAGCCATCCCTGAATTAGTAGGAGGAAGAGGATAGGGAGTCCAGTGATGTGGCCTTTGCAACCAGCCAGCATTCCAATTAGGTGGAAATGATCTTCCTGGCTCATAAGTATTTGGTATCACACAGGCTAGTTGCCCGCCTTAGGGCATGATGAGAGTTAGTAGAGTCAATGTAGAATCACATAACCTGTTTATCAAAAATAATGTTAGATAGTTCTTTCAAATTATATTTTTAAAGCTGTTATAAGACTGGGCATGGTGACTTATGCCTGTTACCCCAACACCTTGGGAGTCCAAGATGGGAGTATTGCTTGAGGTAAGGAGTTTGAGACTATCCTGGGTCCCATAATAAGACCCTGTCTCTTAAAAAATAAATAAATATCTTTCTCTCTGGCCTCTCCATCCTCCAGACAATCACTGAATTACAATATTTGCTTAACAGTAGATTAGTGTCAATTTTCTGGAATGTTATATGACTGATATAACATGTTTCCTCTTTTCATACCTGAGTACTCTCCTGAGTCCTGTTTATTTTGATGTTCTTATTTTTTCTTTATTATTTTTATTTCACATAGCAGGGATGCATATTTTGACATTCATCAATCATGATATATGAGTAGTTCATTCTTTTTATCTTAGAATTTGACATGCTATGGAAATCGCTGTAAGAATTCATCTGCTTATGGATATGTTATTGCTTCTCGTTTTTGTCTGTTAGGAATAAAACTGCTTGTTACACACATTTGAATGCAATTCTTCATATAGATAATGCTTCACTTCTCTTGTGTGAATGCCTTGGTGTGCTGTGCCCAACTCACATGGCAGGTGAATGTATACCCCTCTTCCAACCCCAGGCAGCACAGCTCACAGCTCCAAGAGAGACTCCTTCCCTCCACTTGAGGAGAGGAGAGGGAAGAATAAAGAAGACTTTGTCTTGGAACTTGGATACCAGCTCAGCTACAGTAGAATAGGGCACCAGGCTGAGGCCCCTATTCTAGGCCCTAGCTCTGAATGACATTTCTAGATATACCCTGGGCTAGAAGAGAACCCACTTCTTTGAAAAGGAGGATCCAGTCCTGGCAGGATCCATCACCTGCTGACTAAAGAGTCATTGGGCCCTGAATAATCAGCAGTAGTACACAGGCAGTACTCACCATGTGCCCCTGGTGAGACTCAGACATGCTGGCTTCGGGTGTGACCCAGCACATTCCCAGCTGTGATGGCTTTCAGGAATGACTCCTGCTTGAGAAAGGGGAAGGGTAAAGAAGACTTTGTCTTACAGCTTAGATACCAGTTTGACCACAGTAGGGTAGAGCACCGAGTAGGCTCTTAGGGTCCCTATTTCAGGTCTTGGCTCTTGGATGGCCAGAGGAAAGCCCACTGCCCTGAACAGTGTTCCAGTCCTGGCAGCACTCACCACAAGCTTACTGACAAGCCCTTGGGCCTTGAATGAACATCAGTGGTAGCCAGGCAGTGTCTCTCTTCATGATCCTCATGAGTCCCACAGTCCTGGACTGGGGAGGGCCATGGGGAGAGACACCTCTGCTTGTGAAAACAGGAGGGAAGAGTGAGAAGGACTTTGTCTTATGGCTTGGGTGCCAGTTCACCTGCAGTAGAACACCAGATAGATTCCTAAGGTTTCCCACTATAGGCTCTGGCTCACAGATGGCTTCTGAATGTGCCTAGGATTGGGAGGGGCTTGCCACTCTGAAGGGAAGGAGATAAACCTAGCTGATTTTGCCCCCTGCTGATTGTAGAGTCCTAGGGCCTTGAACAAACACAGGGAGTAGCCAGGGAAGTGGTCAGTATGAGTCTTGGGCAGCACCCAGTTTTCTGCTGGCTACAGGTCTGACCCCATATAGTCCCAGTGGTGGTGGCACAGGGGTACTTGTGTTACTCCTCCCCCAGCTAAAGGCAGCTCAGCACAAAGAAACTTTGGAAACCTGCCAGCAGGAGACTCCATGACCCCCATGAACACTTGAGCGGGCAGGGAGAGCTGCTTAGAGAAGCAGTAGGGACAGAACTCCAGCCAGTGCAGAGCCCAGAGGGTTTGGGGTAGGAGTATCTCTAGTGGAGCACAGCCAGACACGCCCATATTTCGAGGCTCGCCTTGATTCCCTAATAGACTTTAGCCCTAGGGAAGTCAGACCTGATCAGTGCAGGGCATTCTTGCCGATGAGTTGGGGATGGTTGCCCCTGAGCACCCCTTGGTCAGCTGGCCTTTCCCAGGGCTCTAGCTTACCTACACCTGCTTGCAGTGTGACCTCGGATGCCCAGGTGGGGTCCCTTGTGGGAGTGTACATCATAGCTCCTGTGCTGGTGAACTGCAGCAGAGAAATCCCATAGTCATGCAGCAGCTCACCTGCACCTTCCCAAAACTGCGACCTCCCTGAGACACTTTGCCTGCACGCATTCACCTATGGCCACCCCCAACATTGTTTTGCCAGCATATGTGCACGCGAGTAGACCTTGTCTTCTCTTTTCCACTAGCATGTGTGTGCATGTGCACCCTGTCACGCTACAGCTGCCAGTGTGAGCATACCTCATCCCCCCGACTTCTCGCACACCACCATTGCTGTCAGAGCATTTGCGATCCCAGAGACTGCCAGCCCGCACCTGCCAGCACCCCACCCCTGGACCAGCACAAAACTACACAGGGAGACCAGCAGACACACCCCACACAGCAGCAGCAGCTGCTACCCATGTGAATGCATGCACAGAGGGTACAAACAGTTCTGTACCTGCCAGCACCCTGCCTCCATATTAACACCAGTGCTGGTGTGAATGTGTACTGGGACATCAATGGAACCCCCTTCCCTACCCCCCCCATGTTGTGCTGCCACCACCAGCACTGTGAACACTCACGTGGAGGCTGGCACCCCTACACCCACCAGCACTCCATCGCAGCCAATAAACGTACACCCCACCACTGCCATTGCTGCTGGCATGTGGGAACAAGGATGGCTCCTGCTGCCACCACCCTAAGCACTGGGGCTGGCACTGCCCTTCAGAGTGTTACCAGTAGTCTGGGAACAACTTAGACCCTCCAGCATGGCAGGTTTCTGATCTCCAGGGGCCATAGAACAAAGTTGGATGCCTGATACCAGGCCCTGTGTATTAGAGCATATAGTCTAGCAGTCCTGAGCTGAGCGTTGGACCCCTAAAATGCTCCAGAAATTAAGGCAGTTGACTAGAGCCACACTATACCACAAACTCTCGAGGGCACCAAATAGGATAAAACAAAAAAAAAAGTCCATCCAAAGATCAGCAACTTCAAAGATTGAAGAAACATCAGCCAACAAAGATGAGAAAGAACCAGGGCAAGAACTCTGGCAACTGAAAAAGCCAGAATGTCTTCTTATTTCAAAACAACCACACTAGTTCCCCAGCAGTAGCTCCTAACCAGACCGAGATGGCTGAAATAATATAAATAAAATTCAAAATATGGATAGGAATCAAGATCACTGACATACAGGAGAAAATCAAAAACTAATCCAAGGAATCTATTGATTGCAATAAAATAATACAGGAGCTGATAGACAAAATGGCCTTTATCAGAACCAGACTGACTTAATAGAGCTGAAAAATGCTCTACAAGAATTTCATAATGCAATCACAAGAATTAACCGCACTTTGGGAGGCCAAGGTGAACAAATCGCTTGAGGCCAGGAGGTTGAGACCAGCCTCTGACTAACATGGCAAAACCCTGTCTCTACTAAAAGAAAATAATAGAAAAAAATCAGCCAGGTGTGGTGGTATGTGCCTGTAGTCCCAGCTGTTTGGGAGGCTGAGGCATGAGAATCGCTTGAACCCAGGAGGCAGAGGTTGCAGTGAACCGAGATTGCACCACTGAACTCTAGCCTGGGTGACAGAGTGAGTTTCCGTCTCAAAAATAAAAATTAAAAAAAAGAGAACGCTGAATATGGGATCCCAGTCTCTTTTGTCTTGTAGGATTTCTGCTGACAGTTCTGTTGTTAGCCTGACGGGGCTCCCTTCATAGGTGACCTGTCCCTTATATCTAGCTGCCTTTAATATTTTCTGTTTCATTTCGACCTAGAAGGATCTGATGACTATGTGTCTTGGGGATGGTCTTCTTTGTAGTATTTTACAGGGGTTCTCTGCATTTCCTGAATATTAATGTTGGCCTCCCTAGCGAGGTTGGGGAAATCTTCATGAATGATAGCCTGAAATATGTTTTCCATGTTGTTTGGTTTCTCTCTCTGTCTCTCAGGCATGCCAAAGAGTCATAGGCCACTTTATATAATCCCATATTTCTTGAAGATTTTGTTCATTCTTCTATATTGTTTTCTCTTTTTCTTTTTCTTTTTTTTTTTTTTAAAGACAGAGTCTTGCTCTTGTCGCCCAGGCTGGAGTGTAATGGCGTGATCTCGGCTCACTACAACCTCTGCCTCCCTGGTTCAAGCAATTCTCCTGCCTCAGCCTCCCAAGTAGTTAGGATTACAGGCGCCTGCCACCATGCCCAGCTAATTTTTTTTTTTTTTTTTTTTTGAGACGGAGTCTGGCTCTGTCGCCCAGGCTGGAGTGCAGTGGCCGGATCTCAGCTCACTGCAAGCTCCGCCTCCCGGGTTTACGCCATTCTCCTGCCTTAGCCTCCGGAGTAGCTGGGACTACAGGCGCCCGCCACCTCGCCCGGCTAGTTTTTTTGTATTTTTTAGTAGAGACGGGGTTTCACCGTGTTCGCCAGGATGGTCTCGATCTCCTGACCTCGTGATCCGCCTGTCTCGGCCTCCCAAAGTGCTGGGATTACAGGCTTGAGCCACCGCGCCCGGCCTACCCCAGCTAATTTTTGTATTTTTAGCAGAGGCAGGATTTCGTCATGTTGGTCAGGCTGGTCTCAAACTCCTGACCTTTTGATCTGTCCACCTCGGCCTCCCAAAGTGCTGGAATTACAGGTGTCAGCCACCGCGCCTGGCCTGTTTTTTATTTTCCCTGAGTTATTTCAGAGAGCCAGCCTTCATGCTCTGAGATTCTTTCCTCAACTTGGTCAATTCTGTTAATTCTTTTTTTTGAGGGGGGACAAAGTCTCAGTCATGAGGTCTGGATCAAGACCCCTTTTCTGGTAACAGTCTCAATTGTCTACAGACTTAGGTAAAATTTTAATGGCCACACCAGTACAGATAAAGGTGGCTCCAGATAAACCACTTCCCAATATTAAACAGTATTCATTGAAGCAGGAAGCTATAAGCTGGGCATTGTCTTGCACACCTGTAGTTTCAGCCTCTGTAAGCAGACAGGGACGATATCCATGGATTTTAGGAATATAATCAACTTGAGCAATTAACCTGCTTTATAGCCTCCTCCCCTGCTGCCTTTACCTCTCCAAACCCTGGTTTGAATCCAATCACCTTGTTGGGTTAAAACAGCTCCTGACAGACCCCAAGTAATGTATAGATGAACCCAAATAAACTTTCCTTATTAACATGCTGATGTCTTTACTCTGGAAGGAGCTATAGCTTCATTACCATAACATGCTTTCTATGTGCTGGTATGATGACTCACTGCATCTGTGCAACTGGGACCCCAATTCTACATGCAATGATGCACCTTCTCCCATCACCATTATACCATAAAACTCTCCTGTTACTTGTCCTCAGGGAGACACTGCTTTGGAGAATACTCCCAGTGTCCTCTTTACTTGAGCCAAGTAACAAAAGTATTGATCAAAACCTGTGTTCTCTGGCCGCGTGAGGTGGCTCATGCCTGTAATCCCAGCACTTTGGGAGGCTGAGGTG